CCCCACCGTCTCTCCTCCCACAACCGAAACCAACGACATACGCAATTAGATCAGATGGTCTGTAGTGACATACGATTGGAAGGCACGAAATAGGAATAGACATATCAACAAGTGAATATACTTGTAAATAGAGCTGTACGGAAAAATGAAACGAGATGGATGAGATGAAATTATATGTACATGATATCTTTAAAAACAGCAAAATGAGTGCCGTTTTCCCTTCCCTGATTAATTAACCACATTGCTAGAGGCTCTGGAACGCGAAACCTTTGAAGATAGATGGGTATTTGAATTTGGGCTTGAATCTGAGTTGTATAAATGAGAGAACTGATTGATTATTTATGTCCATATTGAAACAATTTAGAACATTCTCAGAAGCGCTGATAGGGGGCGTTAAAGTTAAACTTATACCATTTCACCATTTTTTTAAAAGAACAGAAAATTCCACTGTTAGGAATGCAAAACAGCCACGGTAAGCTATACTGTCGGCCGCTATTTCAATATATATAATGTATTGATTGGGAGCATTACCAAGGGGTAATAGTAATATTGTTAAGCTAGACTACAGGAGAAAGAACAAAAAAGGAGCTTCTTGTTCGGAAATCTAAGAGAACTGCATGTTTTGTGCACACAACCAGATTGACAGATTCACCGAGAAGGAAGAAGAGGACGAAATAAGATTGTCTGGGATTTTTACTCGTACCCCTGGACCAGCGTTCGAATGTTCTTTGTTAGAAATGGAATGGTTTTTATCATCCCTTCTGAAATATTCTTTGAAGTTTTGTGCTACAGGTGATCTAGTTTCGAGCGGAGTCATCATCATCAGTGCCTTTCTCACCCTGCACCAGGGTATAGGCCACGGACAAACACCCTCCACTTTTCTCTATCATGGGCTAGCCTCTTGATGTTGCTGCTTCTGTCCAGACTGTATCCAGTGTGTTTAGCTGACTCTTAGTATGTGCAGTCTGTATCTCTTCATCTCTTGTACTACTTGAGAACTCTTTCCTGCTTCATACAAGATGCGAACATTCCACGACGCAATGCGGAGAGACTTGTTCGACAGAGAAAGTTTCGGGTCAGAAGAGTCCTTTCGGCCTTGTCCGCAGTCCTTCATTGTTCCTGCTGATGCAGAAGCTCCTCCGTCTTCCAAGATCGAAAAATAAAAAGCTGTGTTCGTCCGTGTTTCTGTAACTTACTGTTTTTTACTGGGTTGGGCAGTTGGCCCTCCGCAAACTGGCACTTTTCGGGCGACCAGACCTATGCACTTTTAGTCGCCTCTTACGACACGCAGTACCACGGCAGGTGTATTCTTTGCTCCCCCATAGTAAAACTACGCCCCCCCCCCCCCCCCCCCCCAACCAGCAGAGGCTCGTTGCTTGGTATCAGAGGCAAAATTAGCAAGAAAATGACCTCCAATTGAAATTGCTTATTTACACCTTCTGTACTTTTGATCGTCGTTTTGCAATGAAATCTGAACAGATAATAACATGTTTGTAACTGGATATAAAGGGTGTAGAGGGAAAAAATCGATAACAATTTTCCAAGGGGTTAAAATATGTCGGTTTCTTCAACATCATTATTTTAACAAGCGCCTGATTTCATCACTATACCACAGACTTGGAAATCTCGAGCGGAGTATTTAGAAGAAAATTTATAATGTTTAAAATAATTCGGAACTCTCCCCCCCCCCCTCCCCCCGATTTCAATTTCCGCAAAGCAGCAGGCAAGTGAATTAAGAGAATTTCTTTCTATGCAAAATATACTCTGACTTGCTATTTCGCGTGTCGTTTTAAGCTCATTAGTGTGTTTACTGGTCACCAAAGGGTGCGGTGGCGGAGCGGTTAGTGCGTTCGTCTCCGAAGCGAAAAGTCCGGATTCGAGCCTCGGTTCGGACACGTACTTTTTCGCCCCCTCCTGCTCACCCAGCAGTAATGGGTACCTCACTTCGAATTGGGGAAGTAAAGGCGGCGTGGAAAGAAACTGGCCATCCTACCACAATATGCCGAAGGCCTAGGAAGTCGTCTCACTAACAAGACAATCCCCAATGTCCGGATCGGATGCGAGAACAATTTTACTTTTTACTGGTAACCAAAATCACGACAAACAAGTAAAAGCATTCCTCACGGCAGTTTAGCGGGAAGCAGAAAGAAGAGTGAGGGTACAATGAGAACATACAAAACGTAGACGTGAGACCACAGACCTGTTTTTCAATTTCTGTCACAAGCGCTTGGGCGTACTGCTTATCCATAGTTTCTTCATCGGGGGCGTAGTCTCTGAAAATAGTGGGTGAGGGTTCAAAAGGTTGGGGGGTTGGGGGGGGGGGGTAATAAGATCATACAGCTTACAACCGAAACCCAAGATAACGGGTAGAATCGCAGTATGTAACAGTTCTGAATGCGTGCTTCTCTGCCATAATTTCCCTGAGTTGTGGTGAAGAGAAAGGGATTGATGTGGAGTAGTGGACATAATGTCTCTTTTCAAGGCTGACCCATTACGGTCATATGTTCCCTTTTAACTTAGTCAACTTTTGTTTTGTTTTAGTAGAGGTTTTACGGCGCTCGCAACTGCATAAGGTCACATGAGTGCCAGAAGATTAGAGATTAGAGATGTTGCAAGAGAGTAACAAACATAAAAAGGAGGGGAGATAAGGACGATAGATGGTTGATAGGAAAGAAGAAAGCAAACCACATCAGAGCACCCGCCAACCACCCACTTAGTCAGCTTTGCGACCCGTTTTATGTCAGTTCGCTGCCAAATCAAAGTGCCAATGTAATTTCGTAAAAACCCACTCTGAAGCCTCTAAGTCTTACTTGATTGGAATTCAGACCCTGCGATAACAAGCGCTCTCTTTCTTTCAGGATATTTTCATGGCTTTTTTGCCCTTTTCGTTTGATTTGGGTTAAAAGTTTTAGCGCTGATATCCCTTTTTAAAAGCCGAATCCGAATCATTTTCTAATATATAAAATATCCTAAAATACCGTACAACTTCTAGTGGGGAAAGCAAGCAAGAACAAATTACAAACCTTCGAATTCTTGTAGGAATGAGGGAAGGATTCACAGCGTTGACCCGGATCTCTTTCGGCCCAAGGTCGACGGCCAGACATCGGATCATGTGATCCACTGCCGCTTTTGACATCGGATACACTATGTTGGGTGAACACGCCATGAGTGTCGACATGGATGAAACAACGATAATGTTGCCTTTACTTGCTTCTAGATGTGGCACCGCTTCCTGGATCTGGAAGAACACAGCTTTTACGTTCGTGTTCATTATTTTATCAAAGGTTTCTTCACTAGCAGTCAGAATCCCACTTTGAGGATCTGCTACACCAGCATTAGCCACCAACACGTCCAGACGTCCAAATTTCTCTACCGTCTTCTCCACAATCGCCTTCCTTGCAGAGGGGTCGACAACGTCCCCGCTCACGGCCAAAAAGCGGCCTGCTTGACCTCCACTGGCCTGGACACACAAGGTCAAGGAGGCCTGGAGCCTGTCCTCATTCCGGCCACATAAGGTGACAGATGCCCCTCTCTGGGCGAACATGATGGCGATGCTCTCCCCTAACCCAGAGCTGGCTCCGGTCACGACACAGACTTTGCCTTTCAGCTGTTCAGTGTGTTGGCTTCTCCTTGACGCCATTTTGCCTGAAGTCTGGACTATAGGTTTGTGTCTAAGTTGTCTTCAATTCAGTCAACGGAGGTAACTCCTGTAAAATAAAATTCGTTCAACTATTACAGTTCGAAGAAATACACAGAGAAAATGTGATTTACGTTGTGCAAAATGAATACTTTACCCGGTTAGCGCACAGGAGACGAAAACAGCGATTTCCTGATGATTTTTAGCTTGTGTGCCAGTTTCACTTAATCTAAAAAACTAATTTCTATTAAAATTGGAACGACGTTCCTGTTTTGCTGAATGAGAGTGTACTAGCTGCCCCCCCCCCCCCCCTTTCGGTGCATTAACATCAACTGAAAGTCATGGGCCTACTATATTTACACTCTACTGAAATGGAGCAGTAAATCTTGAGAGATGCAAAAAATTAAGAGACCTAAATCTAAAACACTCAAAACAAAATGCACCTCGCGAAATATCACTTCCGGCACTCCCGTTGTGAAGGACAGCTACGCAGATTTCTTTTTTTTTCTTAGTGGAATAATCACTAAGGCCGAAGAAGGACGGGAGCTTTTTGTCAAATATATTTTTCTAAATTCAGGAAATGAATAAATGAAAAATCTGGCTCTATCATGGGGAACTATCTATCTTTCGGCAGGTACTTGCCAACGTTCAACTCTGTAACTGTCGTAGTTTTATGGGGAAAGTGACGCATATGTTTCCAAGATGTCAAATACAAACTGTATTTAATAGATTGCCGGAGCACTATCTTAACTTTTATTTCCATTTATTTAATTATTTGTCAACGGTAACGAGTCGTCAATTGATATCCTTCCGAACCAAATGTTTGCCGCATGTTTTTGGACATAATAGAAGTTAGAAAGAACTCATGATAACAATAAGATAGATACACCATGATTCAACGGGCTACACATAGCACATGGGGTGTGGTTGGGTTTGTTTTTTTATTCGTTGGGCGTATCGAAAGAGTATTCACGTGAGTTTTAGTGTCCTTCTCACACTGACAGTAGGCCTATCTGAACACAGGGGCACTGAATTGAAATTCTTGTTTCTCCCCAAGCCTTTTTCTGAATTTCACACACGACTATTATTGTGTAGACAGTATAACAGAAATTCAACAATTCTAAGATCAGACTATTACAGGTCTAGAGAGAGTACTGTAAGATTATAAAAGTATATGGTAATATATATATGATATTGTCTTTCAGTTCGAAAGACGATTTTAAATCCAAATGTCCTCTGTCCAAGATAGTGATAAAAGATTGAGCGTATTGAAGAAGGTGCAGTGTCGACGAAAGGTCGATGTATGCGTGAAAGGTGGAGGGGGGGGGGGGGTATAGCAATATTTGCTCAATTGGATGATCATCTACCATGGCTGTTAATATAAAGTGAAAATATCCTAACTATCAGTCTTATTTTTTCCCGTAAAAACACATCAGTTCTTATTCTAAGGGGGACAATCTTTAAGATTAATTTTAAGGTTCCTAAATATAGTGTTTTGTTGTTTGTTTGTTTAGTATAGGGTTTTACGGCGCTCAGTACTGCTTAAGGTCATATGAGCGCGCGGGACACACCTAATACCCTTCTGTTGGTAGGAAATTTTGGATTTTGCCCGGGTGGCGGCCGAAGCCTACTCTTATCGATTTTAGACCACCAAAGGCTCTTTAACGTGCGCAACTTGCACACGGGCCCTCCGAGATTTTTCGCCCTTGTCCGAGAAGGCTAGGTGTAGATCTTTCCTACCAGAAGATCAGGGGTGTGGTAGAAAGACAGCTGTAAGAAGGAGTCAAGGAGTAGCAGTAGAAAGGCTGCAGAAAGAGTCAGGAGCACAGAGGAGGGGGCAAGGGAGGTGAGGGGGTGGGGGCAGAAAGAGGAGACGAAAGCAGACGACAGAATATTGCTAGAGAGCAGGAAAGGAGGTGAAAGGAGACAATTTTAGAGAAGAAAATTTTTCGGTCGCTACCCGGATTCGAACCCGGGACCTTTGAATGAGAGGCCAACACCTTTACCTCTAGGCCACGAGAGCCCCCAAATATAGTGTAACACTTTCGAAACATAAAATGTGCCTTCTGTCACAATACACCTTTGCAGGATACGTTTTGGTAAAGTCTCGGGATCCAGGGTATAGCCTGTTTCTAAAACTTAAGATTTTGGTGTTTTACGCCCCCATCGACAAAGCTTAGATCGTTTAGGATGTGGGTTTCGATCCTGCCGGTCAGGACCAACTCGAGCTGAGAGCGGTATATCGTCCCAACAGAAGGACCGAGATATTCGATCTTTCTTCTGTGCGGTCATGTGCTAACTAGATATCAGGATAAGCCAACAGTTAAGCTACTGTGCAACTGTGACATGTTTTCCTATTTCGTATGACCCCTTGCCTTCAAGCAGCCACTTTCCTATGTCGAAGGCACTCTCTTTTATCATACTGACTATTTTCAGTTTTGGTCAGAGTTGATTCTGAATTTTGTCCGAATGGTGGCCTAAGCCTACTCTTATCTACAGTGAAAACCATATATAACAGGCCCGGTAATAACAGGGATCCGGTAATAACAGGGATTTTTTTAATCCCCGATTTTTTCTACTCTTTGTCTCTATTAAAATTTATCGGCAATAACAGGGCCTCATCAGAGCCCAACCGGTTATAGCAGGGACAAAGGCTCGTTAACAATGTGTAAAAAGTAAGAGAGAGAGAGAGAGATAGAGAGAGAGAGAGAGAGAGAGAGAGAGAGAGAGAGAGAGAGAGAGAGAGTAAGGCAGTGATGGAGCAAGGCCATGCAAGCCATGCCACTGCAAGCACACGCAGCGTGTGAAGCGAGAGAGGGCTGCGGTGTGCTGCAGACCTCGATCTAGCCCCAAACCTAGCAACACAAACGAGTAATGTGTCTACTGCCACCAACGAGGTCAAGCACAAGAGAAAATGCCTTTCAATTGACAAAAAATACGAAGTAATCCAGGCTGTTGACAAAAAGCAAGCTCCACTGGCAGAGATTTGTCGTTAGTTCGACACTCCACAAGGGTCGATTGACACCGTTATCAAGGATAGAGAGAAGATAGTGGCAGCATACTCCAATGAAAAGTTTGCTCCGGATCGAAAGAAGATGAGACTACCCGATGCAGATGTTGTGGACCAAGCTCTTCTGAAGTGGTTTAAGGAGGCAAGGAGAAAGTTGGTGCCAAAACCCCTGTTCGTGGGTACTTGTGGCAAAGGAAACTACTACCCGTGAATAAGTACAGCTGGATTAGTCCACAAATGCTTACTTTCCTTGCATTTCTGATTTAACAGGGATCGGATATAACAGGACATTTTCTCTACTCCCACCATCCCTGTTATATCAGGTTTCCACTGTATTTAATTTAGGACTACCAAGTGAAATTTAACGTACGCAATTTGTGCCCGGAGCCACCAAGATGTTTCGCCTCATAAGATCAGGGATGTAGCTGAAAGACGATGCAGTTAGGAGAAAGATAAAACAGACCGACAACATTCCGTTTTCTTCTTTTTGTATGCTTTTTATTATGGAGACCAGCTTCAATAACAAATCTGGCGGTACTGCTGTAGTATATCCATGGCACTTACAATTTCTTGTGTTGGGTTCATAGGGGTTACGATCGTTTGCAATTTAGTTTCCTGGGTGGTTTCTGTCCGACATTGGTATTGTGGAGAATGTTTTTCTGGCGAGCACCAGAGTTACCACTTCTATTACTAGGGTTATGGCTAATACTAATACTAATATATGCATGATTCTGATGTCAAAACTCGAATCTTGTTGTCTTCCGAATCGAGGAACCTGTGTCTTTTGCGGCTTTCTACTGTAACTGTATGCATAACAGGTTAGCAGTAGAAATAGATCTAATTATGTTCACCTGCGAGCCTATTAAGTGGGTCCCGCTACCACACGCGCGAGACAGCATCCCGTAAAATACACATGATAATTTAGGGTAAAGAGAGAGGCATATCGACACCATAATTATTGTCATTTACTACTGGGATAGAGCAAGACAGACTTACAGAAACGACAGAAGGGAACTAAATGTGTAGATCTAGCTGCACAAGGTAGATTCGTGCACTATTTATTCTATACCTCAAGTAAAGATCCTTACCTTAAAGGAAAACAATAGCGTATTATGTGGTGCCGTACAACTTACCAATTATGACCAGCGTGTTCCAATCAAATCTGAGGGGATAATGAGTCAGTTCATTTCTCTTGAATACACTGACGTCTTCCTTTTAGAATGTGTACAGACCATCAAACGTTTTACTTTTCCTGGCTAGCGTCTGATGTTGTCACTCCAAATTACCGGGACTAAGTGGCATGAAATCCTCGCTTATAGTGACGACCATAGATGTACACTATAGTACTAGATACAGTACGCCCCTCTCTCGCCTTGCTGCGCGATGGCCACATTTGACAGCGGCGTCCGCCATGTTTTTTGTGGCAAGTTGTGTGAATTACTGAAGGAGTTCATGCTAAAGCAATGGGCTAGGCATGTTTCTCTCTCTCTCATACGCGACAGGCGAGGCTTGGTTCTTGTTGATTTTTTTTTTTTACATGGGCGCCGTGGCGTACTATATATCTAAATTACTAAATTGCAATAATACGGCGTTCTTTCTACAACTAGATCTACAAATAAATGTATTATTAAATAGATAGAATAGAGATATGGGCTTTAAAGAAAAGAAGAAAAAAAAACAACCTTTATTGCTTCAACAGCACTTTATCTACGAGGTGGTTTATTTCTTTATTGACCGAATCAAAGTATATAGGGCCTATAGAACTTTTTAAAAGAAGTATGAAAAGATGTGGGTGTCATGGGAACCTCCCTTAACCTCCCCACCCTCTCTC